GTTTTGGCCGTGGAGCCTTCTTCAGGTATGTCTGCAAGCCCTGACAACTCGAAATTAACATCTCCTGAAAACAGTGAAGCTATTCAACATCATGGACCTGTGTTTTAAATATATCAACACAAATTGTACAATTATGAACCGTCACCCACATCAGGCCCTAAATCCTGCGTGATGTACGAAATCGAGAGTTCGGAAAATGATATTTTTGTGACTCCTCCATTTTGTGCTTGCGTTTCATTATCTCTGGATCAAAACTGACGTTTTCATATGGCTGGGATTTTATAGTAAAGTACTAATAATGTATCTGTAAAAAAAATGAAAGCAAGCTATAACAGCTTGCCTGTTTACCTTTGTATTCAATGGCAAAACCAGACATCCCAAGAGAAGCATCACTGCGAAAAGCCAGAAACAGGCTATTCCCACTGCTCTCTATCCTATCAGGAGCTTGACTGCCTTGGAAACTACCAATCAGAGGGCCATTGGAGTCTTCTCCCTCATAAATATGTAAAAAGTCATAACTGGGTTCCATGTTGAAACTGAAAGAGATCAAATAGGATTAATAAAACAGTGAAAAATACTTTTGCAAAAGATAAAATGAACTGCTGGAAGAAATGAAGATTTTCCTCATCCACTAGGATATATTCTGCCACACAGAGGAGATGAGAGGTTGACGTAATTACTGCTTATTTCTTAAAAACAGGGGATGAAAGAAAATGACGCTCTCAGAGGATTCAAAGAGGAGATATGATGAGAAAAATGAAAAATTTTATGCAGCACTGAAATTTACAGCATTTTTTCATGTTTCAATATTCTGTTGCAGCTGTTTTAGTCTTTGATTAAAAAGCATTTATGACATAAAAGAAAAAATATCATAAACAGAAGGAGTTAGACTGATGTCTTGTTTGGTAAAATCATATTATAACAAATCTCACACCAAAGCCACACAAAGCTATTTTAATCTTTTAGAAACTTTGCAAATAAAGAGCTGCATAATTCAGAGAGGCGTTTTATGTGTCATTGTTTATGGAAACATTTGTAAAAATAATTCAAAGGTAAATAAGAACAAAACTGAAATAGCAATAGGGCTTAAAGTGCTTTATTTACATTATCCACCAATATAATAAAAAGCCCAATCATATAATCAGCTGAAACACTAGCATTTATTTTATTGTGTGATACTTACATTAGACATTCACTCTTGTGATTTGCAAGTCTGCACAATTCAGAAACCATGTGGTGTGATAAATGAAGTCTAGTCCAGATTGCTTGCTTAAAAAAATGATTGTTTTAAAACATTTGAATGTATAGTAGGCGGCCTCCAGCAAAGCATGAAAAGCATACCTCTTAAAAATCAAGGCAATTACAAAGTCAGGATTGACTTTTATTCTCCAATCACATTCCTTCCCCGGAGGATAAGGCTGTGGGTAGTTAGGAGATAAAATCACCCCGGCTGGGCCTGTCACATTCCCTCCACAGGTAGCTGTCACAAGTATAGGGCAGGGAAAAAACACAAAAGATTAAACTTTTAACTTGAAAACGGGAAAAAAGCGACTACATACTGTGTTGATTGTGTGACAGATTTTTTAAGTAACTGTCAGACTTCAGATTTATGAAAATGTGTTGTCAAAATTCATATTGTTCAGAAAGAAAAATGTAGACAAACGTAAGTATCTTTTCCTTCTGAAACAAACGTAAAACAGAAAAATGTAAGTGCAGTTCATCATGAATAAGATTCAGTGCACATTTGATGGGGATATTCAATCTTTAATGGCTAAAAATGTGCTGAATTCTTAAAAGAAAAAAGAACGGATGGATCAACTGCATAAAAGCAAACAGTGAGCATCACAGGCAAGTTCTGGCCATGGAACTCACATTGACTCAGGTAAAACCTGTTGTTGTCCTAATGGGGTTTAATTAAAACATACTTTGTCCTAAAATGAATAATGTACTGAAATACAACTTTCAGTGAAGTATTTTCATACTAACTTAACATGTATTAATCTTCCTAATCATATATAATATGAATGAATATAGTATGGTATCACATAATGTACTATATGAATGAATATAGTAGGAAATAACATAGTATAATAATAATTCATTTTCATTATAGAGTGAAACAAATGGTGGTGTTGAGCCACATGCAGTACAGCATACTGTACAGCTTTATGATTGATTGACAGTGTGAAACAATATAGTAAAACAGAATATTAGTTTATATTGTCTGTATAATTTATTAGCTTTTTAATTGCTAGCACAAAGTGAAACAGATGTGCAGAGGTTGCTGAAATGAGAAAATGTAGAGGAGTTTTTTCGTCTGGTAAATGAACTTGAAGAGAGAGTAGGTATTCATCACCTCATGTTAATTTACTCGTATTCTTCAGAGTCCTTTAGCAGTTAAGAACCTAATACCTACTTTAATGTTTTATTTATCTGATTATGAAACATGGTACAGAAGTCTGATATTCAATAAATCCTACTTCAAAAGTTGTTTTTTCCCCACAATCAATTTGTGTGAGAGTCTGGATTCAGTGTCATTTAAAGGCTTTAAAATGGCAAAAACTTGCAACATTGTATTTTGTGGAACACAAGTGAAATGCATTGCTAGATGTATAAATAATGCTCTTTCTTTTCTCTTTATAAAACAAACAATAAATAAAGACATTTTGAAGTCCAGGTGCTCTAGCTGGTAAAACAAATAAGGTTGGTATGGACATTAATTGAGAATTACGTATTGTAAGCGCTGAATACACTGAGAGTTTTTTGTGTAGCAGTTTGAGAAGCTATAAATGTCAGAATCCCTGGAGATCTCTCATGACACAGGAGTGGTAAAAGCATATGACCATAAAGAGAAATGCAGCTGAAGATATTAAATAAACATGAATGACTTTTGTCGATGTTCAGAATGCTAATAACAAGTCATATTAAACCAGAGCAGTCTTTCAGCACAAGACAAGCAGTACTTCACTGGAATGTTAAAACCTGTGTGGTACTGTTCTTATAGGGCCTCAGAGGATTCCAGCGCAGTCCAGTCTGTGGCAATAAAGATTTTAAAACTACCAAGTCCCTCAAGGTCACTCAGGAAACACAGATGCATTAAATATATGCATGCAATTTCTTTGTAAATTTTCTAGTTATTAGTAGACTAATTAAAACTATTTCGTTTTAAAACAGCAAAGAAAGGGACTGAGAGTGAAAAATGTTCATCATAAATAAGCACCTTTTTCCGACATGCATTATTAAAGCAATGAAGCTTCTTTCAGTTGAAGGACTTACATGATTTGAAAGTAATTATGAAAGACCTAGCTTTACTTTGTATTCACTTTGATATTTCTTTCTATGCTACTGGTTCACTAAATCATTTTGACCTCAAGGGTACAGCTGCTTTTTTCTTATTTTTAATAGATATTAAAAGTAGCATTCAGTAGGCATAGACTTACTGGAGATTACATAAGTCGTTTAAAAGATGTATGTTAACACAATGCTTAAACAATAGTAACAGATTAATCAAATAAGTCATTTCATTCTTATTAAAGCCTGATTAGAGTGGCCTTCTTATATTCCAAAGATACTTGAAAATAAAAACTTTTCATTTGCAGCAGGAAGATGCATGCTAAATGCTTCATGAATTTGTCTTTTATTTTCATGTCCCAGACTTGACTTGAAATACTCAAACAGCCCCCAAAAAGCATGAGATCTCCTAGACAAAGAACCACAAAATAAAAATTATTAGATTTCTATCTTTTCTGTTTTGAAGAAATAAGACTGCAACAGCTGTGGCAGTCAGAGGGAAAGCACACTAATTTGAAAACTAAAAATTTTTAATCAACTGGAAATTCTCCTTCTCCTTTTGCGTCATCCAGATGACTATTGGAAAAAGAAAAACTTGATTTTCATTGTAACACTTGGAACTGAAAATCCGACTCTTCATATCAGAAAATGTAATCCAAAATTAAATATGCAATCTACTCAAAATACTGTATATACGGACTTACCTATGCATGTTGGGGGGTCAGGTTGCCAAAAGAATCGATTGTTAAGCTGCACACATGTGATCTGTGCCGCCCCTTGTATTTGATAGCCAGGGTCACACTGGAACGTGATGGTGTCACCGGGCTCGCGGCTGTCTCCGTACCGCGAGCCGTTCTGCGGAGTTCCCGGATCATTGCACGTTGTAGCGGTCGTAGCTACAGCAGAAGAAAGGGTGTGCCGTTCAGAGCAGCACTCTGGGTCTCTTTAATTGATCACTCTCTCTCATTTGTTCGGCATTGATGTCTGTCATTCAGTAAATCCTACTTTAAGGTTTTTTTTTTTCCCAAGCCAGAATTTTATTTTTATCATTCTTTCCTAATTGTTTTGAAAAAGAAACGCAATTAAAAATGTAATTAAAATATGGGAAGTCATTACATAATCTAATGTACAAGCCACTTCTCCCAGGTTGTCCTGAAGTTTCACATGGTCTGTATAAGGAGTCTATTCTGTAAAACACTATAGTTGGGTGCACATACCAATTGTCATGAATTGTAAGCATTATGTTACAGGTATAATATATAACAAGGAACACCTTTCAATGTAATATTGTCTTTTGATCTTGCAGTTGCTATGAATTTTGCGAATTAATATGAGATAATATTAAGCAATTAATGAATATTAACAGCAAATAATAATATATATTCCCAAAGTAATTGTGATGGCGTGTTCTTTAAAAGACACCATAATCCTAAAAGAAGCTGCTTGTCATATATACATACTGTATAAACATCTGTTTCACTGGTCAAAGTCAGCTCCTGTATATTATGCTGATAAGTCCTTAATTAGAACTAAACAGCTGGCCATGACTGAGTTAACTTTACATTTACATAAGAAGAATTAGAAGTCAGTTTAGACTTTTCTGCTTCTCAGCATTGTGAAATAATACGATATAATTCATATGAATTTCCATAACTAATTGTGTTTGATTTAGCATTGGCTAACTTTTTAAGAAAGAGCTCTTCATTTTATTATACTTCAATTAAAATTAAAATAATTATACTAAATCTACCTACTGTATATAATCTGTTTAAAATGTTCTTCAGGCTTCTTTTTAATTAAATGTGTGGAGTTTTCATGTTCTGTAAACCTCTGCATTTATTTAAAATAGAATGGTTCCCTTGAAGACCCTTTTAATAAAACACTGTTAGTACAATTGTTATTGGCCCCATAGTACAGTGCTCTAGATTTTTTAAGATATTAAGCCCAAGGATGTGCTATAACGATGAATCTCTGTGATAAGGAACATACAGTACTTTATCTACACTTTCACACAGTATTTCTTATGTGAATGATTATATATAGCAACAAATGTGTATATCCTCCTCATACAATTAATTTAACCGAAGCACTACCTAATTTGGTGACCTTAAACATTCTGGGTTCTACCATAATTCATTAAAAGTGTATAAATAGGGTATAATATGCTTTACCTATAGTCAACGATGTATACTGTACTGTATACCTTTCAGCAGAAGAAAATAAAGAAGCTGCTAATTAGAAATCCTTCCATTTAAAATAAGATTCTCCATTCTAAATAAAGATCTTTTTAAATCATAGTATCTCAACTACTGTACTTTTTAATTTCTAAAGAAAATACTGAAAATAAATATATATAGATGGTCTCAATCTAAACACTAATACATATGTATGGTATGTGTAACAATCAGTGACATGATGTCTGAAGCTATTAAAAGTACAAAAAAGGTTAATTCAGAGTTTGAAGTAAACTCTACTCTTTGAAGTGGAATAAAGATGACTTCTTAAGTGAAACCAATCTTTGTGTTTTTATAGAAAGAGATCCCACTGAAATGTAGTCCTTTCTGCATGATTGGTTAAAACCACAAGGAAGCTGTCAAAGGCAGAAATCCTGAAAGTGAGAAAATATTGGTTTGGGGCTGAAAGGTGAAGTTTGAAGGTTTCTGATGAAATAAGTGTTACTTACTGGAGAACTGAATGGAGAAGCCTGATTTGCTGATGAAATAATCACTGTCGAACTGCAGTGTTAACACATTGAAGGTGCTGTGTGTGTCTTCAGGCAGGGAAGATCCACTCCACTCTTTCAGAAGTATGCCACCCTCTCTTGGGCCATCCCAGACCTTCAGTATGTCATGATCTACCTCTGTGTCAAAGACGATAAAGTGAAGGCTGCAAGCGAACAAGAAGAAAAGTGGGTCGTATTCCTTGCTGTAGTCATGGATGGATATATTACAGTAATTAAAGGTACTGTACATGTGTCCACACGCTTAGTAAATTTCTTTTGTTTCCGTCGATCAAAACATTTGTTATAATGTTTTGGCACTACGTAAGCATCTTACGGTGTGACAACCGGTACAAAATTAAACATTTATATGAAACCATCAGTTACAACCAACTTACCATGAAACGCGTTATGCTTTATTTTCTTGTCTGACTACAGTGTGCAGTACCTAATTGTGGTGTATCTACCAAATGGTGGGACTTTTGATTTGTCTGGACTAATGTTCTGATAATATAACAAACACTCACATGGCTGTTAAAATGGCAACAGCTGCTAACTTACACAAGGTTTCCCAGAAATCAGTACAGAGACGGTATCTACATACTGTAAGTCTGCATGGCTTATATGTCTTGTTGTGGCACCCCCTAAGAAATCATTGTTATACATTTGTTATACATTTGAAATTTAAATTATTCCTTTATCTAATACAACTTAAAATACTATATAAAAATGACTTAATAATTGCAAAAAAATAAATCTGCGGTACCCCATCCCTGAGACCTTCCTGCACCACACAGATTGGGAAGCAGTTCAGAATGTGTTTCAGTGATCAGAGTCCAAACAAACCCTCATTGCCTAAATAATTTATTCACCTCAAGGCCATAATGCAAGATCTGAAGTCTGCTCTAAACAATGTAAGCAATCTAAATGAACTGTGGTAAATCACTCAGCTGAGATCAATGTTGGTCACTGTTGCAGATGCAAGGCAGAACACATTCCATTAAAAAGGAATGGTTGGGCTCCCTTTATGCCATTCAGTCACAGATGCTTAATATAATTTTTTTTTTTAATTTTGAAACTGTTCTGATTTGAGCTTTATGATCATCAGGTTTCACTGTCATTGTTATGTAAATGGTTTCTTTAAAAGGCATGGAGAAACGTGCTATTTGCATTTTAAATTTTAACTTGGAGCGACTGGAGTGAGATTTCAAAATGCTCTTTTAAAGATACAAAACACATCAGTCATGGCTATCTTCTTCCTCAGATACTGTACACCCTTAACTGACTCATTTGAATTGGCACACACATGGTGGCAGTACATTTCCTCATGGGTCTAATTGGTTTATCTGTGGGGCTATCCTTATCTTAAAAGCCTTGATAATGGGCCTAAAGGAAGCAATGCTGATCTGTCAGTGTGATAGCACTGTGTTAAAATGCAATAACTATGACAAGCTGAGTAATTTGCCTATCATTTCACAAAGTCCAGCTTGTTAAATTGAGATGCTGCATACAACAAAAGAAATGTAACTGGCAATTTTCAGTTTGAAACACTCCAAAGGCTGACTTTATTAAGAATTGTATAATGTGTGTGCCATGGGATGGACTGGCGTCCCATCCAGGGTGTATCCTGACTTGTACCCATTGCTTGCCAGGCAAGGATTCAGCTCCCCTGCAACTCTGTATGGGAAGATGTGGTTAGAACACGGATGGATAGATCACCGATTATTGAAAGGAATAAAAAATTTGTGCTGTGTTGAAGCATTTTGTACAATTAGGGCAGGGGTCTGTAACCTATGGCAAGCTTGCCGTTAGTGGCACGCAGAGGGATTTTTAAAAGCACGTGAAATGGAAGTGGTAGCCCAATAAAAGTCTAATAAGCCATGAAGAAACTAAGTTAAAAAGATGATAAAAAAATCCAAGCTTGACTGGTCTGCAGTTCTCTAACACATGCTACCAATTAAAGATCTTTGGGTAGAAATAAACAATTCACTTTATGTATGTGCTGCATTATTTGCAATGGGACTAGCCTATAATTTTCACAAGGAAGCTTGCAATCCACTGATAATGTTTTTCTCACTTAGGAGAAAAGTTAAACATTTTTGGGAAAATGGCAGTTGCTAAGAAAGCAAAGCTAAATGTTTACTTTTGTTACTTTTGTTAATTTTGATGACTATGGACTTATTCAACACAAAGACTGATGTTTGTGCTCTATGTTGTGATAGCATCATTCGTTGCACATCAGGTATCCAACAACATTTTCAGACAAAACAAGCAGACTGTTGTTGTTTTGTTACACATGTGTTTGGTGGTATATCCATAAATTGTATTTTGTACATTTTGTGTGAGACTGTAAATTATTATTATGTTTAACTGATTCCTAACAATTACCAAAGTACTTTTGCAATTTAATGTTCCAATTTCTAATTATTGCAGTAAATTAAAACTCTCTCACTACTACACGTTGTTAAAGAGGACTTAGTTCCCCTAATGGCAAGTCCTCCAAAGATGACCTGTGCTCCACTAGACTGATAGCATGGGTATTGTTCTCTTGCTAAGTGGGGTATACCAGTTCCTTTCAGCCTTTTTCTTTCCTGGTTTTACCAGGCTTGATTTTACAGGTAAACTCATCAACAGTGACCAATTAACTCTTAACATTTACACTTAACGTTCTAAATAAACAGTAAAAGCAGGTAAACAGTGAAAAGTTTTTGTGATTCTATAATATGAAATACAATGGTTGATATTCGACTCTCAAAAAAATTGTTAAAAGCTTCGTGGTTTTTTTCAGCTGCAAGATTTATTTCTAGTTAGACATAAAATTAACTTCCATTACTACAATCTTTTATTTTTCTAGCCTTAAAAACATGAGCTTATTTAACAATATGGTGCTTTTACTGTGACTATTTTTTGCACTAAAATGTACAAAAAATTGCTTATTGTATTTCAAGGTCATAAAAGCTACAACAATGTAGATAATGACAACAACAATAGTAACAACATAAAGTCTAACTAAAGAAAATAAGACAGAGACAGACTATCCGTCACAATTCAGATCATTTTCAGCTTCAAGCCTCTCTGAATTACCTTATGGTTTTGCCCGAGTCTGCTTCAATGGACCACGTGCAGTGCAGGTTATTGTCGTATGGAGCAGGGTATCCAGGAGACAGTATCCTTCCAGATGTAGCTCCTGTGATGTGGCCCCCACACTCAGCTACATAATTAAACAAGCTATTAGCATTGTTCCACACTCATCATCATTTATTTATTTCACACCTACAACTAATTACTGTACATAAATGCTCATTATATAAATGTAATAAAATAAGGACATTAAATTTGGTCCATTTGGAGTCTCTTGCACTGTAGAGAACAAAAGGCAGGACTCATTATTTAAATCAAAGTAAACACCCCCAGGACTGAGCTAGGCCCCTCTTAAAGCACAGATGGCGAGGACAGGCCAGGCAGATCCTCTCCTCACTGTACAGGTTGAGTGATGTGCTGCCATCACATTTAGCACGCACTATCTCAAAGAGGGCCCCGAGGTCTGTTCTGAAAATATAGCTTGCTTTTCCTTATCATGATCCGTAAACACAGTGTGTTCACCACATGCTATCTGTAAAACTGCTCTTCAGAAAATCAAGTGTCAAGATGCCTGTCAAGATAGATTGCTTGGTTCGTACATTATCTGGATAAATACTTTTTGGTGGGAAAGCATGTGTAGGGAAACCATTTCCTGACCCTTTTGAGTCTGCGGCTGTGAAATGAAAAACTTTGTTGTGCTCAAAGTTGAATGAATGTAATAAGGTTTCCTAATGAGGACCTTTGGACCATCTTCTGTGCTAATAGCTGCTTGGTGACCAAAGTTGATGCACCATTTTCCTGTTGAGTTTCACTGATGTAATGTACTAAATATTATTAAATATTTTTTTTAATAGTACTTACTACAGTATGGCACTTAGTAATAATATCTGATAGTAGATGTTTAAAAACTAAACAGATCTTTTTGATCTGAGACAGTGGAGAAAGAACAGAGGAATAATACTCGTTCTTTCAAATGGCAGATTGTGTACAGTACTGGAGACCCCAGGTGACCAGAAAGTTATTAGTTGTATCATCCCAGGGAATCAGCTTCCTGAGGGTGGCAGGGAAGCTTGTTCAAACAGAAATGTACTATGGCTAGTCTGAAGCTAGCTAAATTGGTTTGGAAAATTGTGTTCAGCTTTGGTCACCATGCCACAGGAGTGATTTTAATGCTAGAGAGCTAGCACAAAAAGAGAGAAGCAATAGGAATTCCACAACTGGCAGTAATGACATATTCAAAGAGATTAAGGGAACTGGGAAAGAGAATATCATATGTATAATTATTTAAAGTTATTACGTTTAAGAATTAAGTGTAGATGTATTAGGGACAGAAACACATGATATTGTTGAAGATATTCAACATGCTCTGTGGTGTTCTTTAAGAAATGTCATGATGTGATTATTAGATTGTTAAGTTACTAACAATGAAATAAACAAGACTGGACAAATGGTCTCTTCTGCTTTGAAACAATTTTAACATTCTTTTGTACTAGGTTACGATTAAGGTATACATTCTTACAACCTCAACTCTGCCAGACTTAAAGAGCAAAAGAACAAGTAATACAGTAATTTATTCCATGCTGAAAAGAGAAGAAAGAAAACACAATGTTTTGGCCGTGGACTCTTCTTCGGGTGTGAGACACCCTCACGTTTCACGTTGTGTTTTCTTTCTTCTCTTTTCAGCATGGAATAAACCTATTATATTATATTATGCCGACGCATGTTGACACATCTACCCACCAGAACTACTTAAAGGGTAAAATGTTCTTTTCAATCACAAAGTAGAATTTAAAACCATCACTGCATTTCAGAATGTTTAAAAGGCCTTATACACTCATTACTACAGATTTTAGTTTGGAATTATTATCCATTGGTACAAGGAAAACGTGATTATTTTTTATTAGGGAGAAACCATCTCTAAGTTGAGAGGTAGTCTTCATATCTCATGTGTTGAAAAACCCTGAATGACACTGCCATTTCCACATGGACATTTACTGGGATCATTGAGAGGGTCAAAGAGACCTTGATCACACAGACAGCGAAAAGCCTTGGCATTTTACATAGATGTATTTTTAGTCTTCACAGCTGTCAAGCAAGCCTGTGAATAATGGAGCCTTCTTTGACCTCCTATCAAGGGGAGGTTTTGGCTGGGGACAGGTCTGACCTTATTAATGGACTCTTTCAAACTAATATTCTATACTGCCACACTGCATTAAGGTTTCAGTACTGTTTTAACATTTTCATATGTATACCGTATTTTTTAGATGAACTCTTTCATAAAAAATGGGAGGGTTCACAAGTTCAAAGTATTGCTTCATTTGTTGGAAAATTACACAAATGCCCTTTTACCTTTTTCCTCTGCCTCATCCATATATTTCCAAGACTTCACCCTTCCTTTTTGTATTTAACTAGAATGTTTAAGAAATAACCACATGAGTAATGTGTATAAATGTAATAAAGCTAATAGGGACTTCACTGTATATCACTGTGAGTCATTGAAAACGGAAAATAAATAATGAAAACAAACATTGCTGTAGAGTAAGTTATCTGCATCTCTACCTTGCACTTTACTAAGATTGCCATAATAACAAGATACCATATATTAATAGAATAAAGGTTCTGTATGAGCAACAAAATGTTCTTAAACACTCCATTCAGCTGTGGCACTTTTTTTGTAGACATCTGACTAAGCTGTTGTGTCTAGAAGTGCATCTGGCATTCAAATATTACAAATGCAGAATTTTGTCTTTATGTTTTTAGATTTATGAAACTCAAGTCTTAAAGTAGGCTGTTTTATTTAACTAAAAGTTTTAAAATCTCACTACAAAACGAGCTGCTTTTCAAATTTTCTATCAATGTGTCAAGACGATTGCAGGACTGACACATCAATATCTTTTCAGTGGATCAATGGCAGTAATAATTCCATGCATTCTGTGTTGCTTGTGTCTCCAAGAAGAAACATTACTGTAGCCCACTTGCTTCAATTAGGAAAGTGAAAAATAAAATCTAACAAGCTCACAAAAAGGATCTTAGGAACTAAGCAAAGTGAAAAATAAAAATAAAAATACAAACTGTTGAGGAATACAGCTTTAAAGGACAAAGTTTTGTGAAAGCACGAGGTATTTCAATGCATTACCTGATGAGAGGACCATCCAATCAAAGGATGGTAATTGTAGATAAATGAACAAGTAATTCCCCCCCACAAAAAAAACATTGTAGATGCACAGGCTACAAACACTGTGGAAACAGTGTGCAATTACCGCAAGTGGGAATGACTCTTGCATTGATTTTCAAAAGCAAAGCTCTTACCTATACAAGAAGGTAACGGCTTGTCCCACACTCTTCGATCCCCACTTAGACAGGTTAAAACACTGCTTCCATGCATTGTATAGCCAGGGTTGCAGCTGTATACCACAAATGTGTCAGCAAAATGCCCTTCATCCTGAATCTTGTATCCATAATTAGGAGTTCCTGGTTCCTCACATTTAACAAGATCAAAACCTATGAACAGGAGTTTGCATGTTTAATGAATTTGAAAAGTATACACATATACTGTAAATAGAAAATACATGTATGATAAATATAATGTCAAATATGAATATAAGAGGAAATCATGTTTCAATGTTAAGTAAAAACTAAGATCCATTTTTTTTCTTTGGAGTCTTTCCATTGAATGTCTTAAATCAGAATCTTATGTTCAAAGATTGAACATTAAGATTTCAAATACCCGTCATTTTACAAGATAGAGAAAATTCATCCAAATACAAAACAATCTGAGTAATCTTTATTTTGTCAAATTCAAGACACTTCTAATTCTTTATAATAGTCAATGATTACCTCTTATATAACTATATTTAGTTAAAACAAACACTGTAAACCATGTTAAACTCCAACTCTAGCTGCAAATGGCTATAGTCTTTTCCAGTTTTCATTCTAATTCAGCAACTCAATCAGCATGTGACACACCTGATGAAGGCTCCACAGCTGAAACATTGTGTTTCTTTTCTTCTCTTTTCAGCATGGAATTAACCTTTACTTGTGACTTTATCACTGTTTATCAAGTTATTAATGACAGGGGTAAAATTTAGTCCTGTTTGTTGTCTTATCCCAACCCTTGTCAGTATTCCCAATCTTGTTCTATCATTCCATTCTGTCCATACTTTTCCTTTCCCATCCTCTCCTGTAACACTACTCCAAAAATCCCAGCCCACTGCAGCCTGTGATCTTCTTAACTGAACATCTTTTTGGAGGAAAATACAGGTTTGTACTGTTTGGGAACTGCAAATACCTTGTGTCTACACCTTCCTACCCTTTATTGGAAATTTATCCTGCATAAAATCATCTTAAAATATTTTTTTTTATCCGCAAACTTCAGCTTCATCATCTCATTCATTTACAGAATTTTTGAATGAATATTTATTTCACTGTAGTGAAATTTTCATTAAGACTTTGATCACCTCACTATAAAGAAACATAAAATTGCTTTAAATAATGTCCAACCTTGATTCAAAAAGTGTTAAGAAAAATATAAAAGTAAAAAGACTGTTGGGGCAGTGTGAAAATCTTAGCTCAAAATGTACATCATTAGGTGTTACTTTCATGTTCAGTGAGCAAAATCCACTGCCACATGAAATTAGAATAAGAATTATTAGCTGTAGAGAAATAGAAGAATTAAGTTGTGTGCATTTGTGCTTTAACTTAAACTCAGCAAATGACTGGTCATAGGAATTGCCAGAAGTCTTCTGGCTACAGCAAGTGATGGATATCTATGAGATTTTGCTTTCCAAAGAGTAAGCAGTATTCCATCATAAATGTGAGTCTTTAAGCTGATGTAATGAACTAAACTTAATATGGAGGAAGACTATTAAGATATCTTATGTTAAAATGGTAGTTAAAGTAAAATTATTTCTATAAATTGTTAGAAGCTACCCTCATCTCTCTAGGTACATTACATGTTCTATGCAATGCAGTGCTTCTAAATCAAATTACAGTAATTAAATTTCAGTAACAGCTATTTCCACATGTTTTGTAGTTGTTGTATAGTATAGTAATAATCTGAAATAAAATAACATAATGTAATTATTATTTAAGAGTGATTTTTAAAAAGGGGGGCGGACCAGTGGCACTGTGGAAAAGGATATAAAAATAATGATACCAGCTACAGATTGGACAGAAGGAAAATCAACATCCATAGACTGGGCACTCATTCCTGACATTATGTCCCTGTATCATTCCCATCATGGAAGCTTTTTGTTCAGTGACTCGAATTTACTTACTGTAAATCGCCAAAGCAACAAAGCTCCTATTGCAAACTCCACGCTGTCTGAGTGGACAGAATGCCCAGATTAAAATTCCACACATTCATATCCAGTATATAGAAATATGGTTTGTCTCTGATAAAGCCTAGAAGCTTAATTTCACCAGCCTAAAGTGCCGTTTAACATAAAAAGTCCTAAATTATTTGTCATGCACTAGAGGGTTTTAGCGTCCTATGTCTATTACTCACTGCTATGTGTCAGTCTGAATCCTCTGTCAGTGCCAGACCCGTTGCTGTTGAATTCAAGCCACAGGTGGTTGGAGGTGCTGTTGATGATCACACCATACATGTCATTCTTAGTGAAGTTCCCAAGCAGTCGGGATGAGGAATCCTTTCCATCATATACCTTTAAAAATTCAAAAAGACACAATGTTTCTTGTTCCTGGGATATTCTCAGCTTGTTATCTCTGAAAGGATCTTTTAATGTAGCTTAATTCATCGCGCTTTGAAGTAGCTTTGAAGAAGTGGATTGTAGAATACAATCTACACAGTCTTACTTCCCTCAGGCCACAGAGAGAATCACAGGAACAGAGGAAATCCATTTTAAAAGCAGGACACCACTAAAACACCTCTGATTTCTAATGCAAATAACTTCTTTTTACAGCAAACTCTGTCTTATGAGATTATGTTAATTTCCTCTCTTTAAGCCTTGATTAGCATGTGCCTGTTACCTGGTCTAGATGCCACATGTCATCCCAGTTAATCCCAAAAATGTTCAATAGTGCAGCAAGTAGATTACCCATGGCATGTTCTCATCTCACAAGAAAGCCCTTCTTTCTAGACCAGCATAAAGACATATGATGTCCTGCTGGCATGCTGTCACATGAAGATAGGTCCACAGTAGCAATAGATCTCCCAGGACATGAACAACATACTGTCATGCAGTCAGTTTGCCATAAATCATTGAAGTGTAGTGTCTGTAAGAAGCTACACACTCCTGCCCGGACCATCACACTGTGATCTCCCCATTGCTTGGTTTGTTTTATTCAAACAAATGTACTGAATTTCTCTTCACGTCTGTAGCGCACTAATGTCCATCAGGTTAATCTTCCTGCACAACTGAAAAAAAGACTTGTCCTTTTTTTTAACCATTTAAACTCTGTCTGCAACACATACATCTTTTAATTTGGATTCTTATTAATAAAACACCCATAGAAATGGTGCATTAATCAATAGCATACTCCCTCATTACATGTGATAGTCCTATTGTAATCTAGTTAAAATAATATGTATTTAATTATACATGTTATACGCAAAGAAAGTATGAACAGCAGATACTGATAGCAAAAAAGAGAACTGAACTGGAGAAAATGCATCTTTTTATTTTGTATATATTTTATGAATTAAGGAAAGTGACTGAAACTGAAGTAGAATTTGGGTTAAGGCTAATTGCAAAAATGATTTGGTCAATATCTGATATTACTTTATATATATATATTCGATACATCACATATAATGTTGTTTCCTTAATTATGGGACATAGACTAGGAACTGCCTGGGTTGTGTGTTGAGGAATGTTTTTAATAGATTATCTACATGAAGGGAATTTTCCAATAACAAAATAATTTAGAGACCTTATACTGTAAAGACTTACTATATGTGCCTAATAATGTATAATAATAATAATAATAATAATAATAATAATAAAAATGTATGACTGTGGAATAAATTCCACAAGTACATATACTATACCGAGAGACATTAAAATCCAAAAAATAAATATTGGAACCAGTAAAATTGATTGCATTTTAATGCCTCTCAACATATAAACAGCAGCATATTTCAGATACCATAACAGCTATAAACAGGCTGTACACTAGCTGTAATTGCTTTACAAACTCTGGCTCGTTGTCTCATTCTCAAGCCTATTTTCAGACTTTTTTTTTCAAAATAACATGAATACTTAATTAATGATCTTTAGGGATTGTTAACCATGTCCTTTCGCAATAATATTTAGTATGCATGAGGGGCTTACAGCATGTCAGTTTAATGAATTCATCTATGATTAATGATGAAGCAGAATATTGTCAGTCAGTCATAGGTTTCACAAGGGAAATTCTGCACAAACTTGGTGACTCTGCAGTCATGAATTGCACCACAAAGACCTTTTAACATTTTAAAGATTAAACATTTTAACATTATGAATTATAGGTACCACTGCCAAATTTAATTAGCAATTTATTTACACACAAACCTGGCTTTATTATAAGGCCATCTCAAGATTCAACTTTGTTCGCTATGTTTGTTATTATTTGCACACTAGATTATACCAAACCAAAAGAATGTAAAGAACATACTGTATGTTCCTGGCATATAAAAAGTATGGCTTTTTAATTTTTGGTTCTTTATACAACATCAATTGTGCTCTTTCTCAAAGGAAACCCTAGGAACAAAGAGGTCTGTGATATTGTGCTTTTACTATTTGAGTATTCTCCACATGGAGTATAAGAAGCCGTCTCAACAGTGAAGTCTAGTTTTGTGTTCTGTATTAGGTGCATAGCCTTTCTATATACGTAATGTGTATGCAATTTATGCATATAAAGATTGCAATTGAGACAGTACTAGGGTTATGACATTACATACATAAAAGACTTAAATCTTTGTATTTGCAATATGTCAACATAGACCAATATTAAAAATTATTTACTGCCAAAGAGTGTCTTACTACAGTCAAAGATGTGGCTGAGGCATGAAGGCACAGCTATGCTCAGATAAGAATCTACTGGTACATGACCTACCCTCAGGTTATCTCCATCATGCAAGTGGAAGTTCGTGGCAGTCAGGCGGATTCCTTTTCCTTTCTCAGTTTCTATTTGATAAATGCACTCGTGGTTGTTGTCATAGTTGGATGGGTAGTTGGGAGACAACAATGTCCCTTCACTCCCAACAGAAGATGCTCCACATTCAGCTATGTATGAGATAACAGAGAACTAGATATTAACACATTTTCAAACAAAATCAAGTTTTAAGGCAGAAAACATATTAATTACTGTATCTGTAAATGACTGTTAATATTTTCATTGAAGCTTGTGAGATATTGTAGTCTGGAACACCTGCAAAACAAAAAATTCTAACCCTAAAATAAAGATATTTTAATATAATTTCTGTTTCAACCACGCAAAGAGTTTTATGCAAAACATCCTGCATGTACTAATACCTCAACATTATCGGCTCAACGCTCCAAGTACTGAAAGAATTGTCACAGCAGTATAAACTTTAATCCATATTGATAGTCATGAGAACTGTTGCAGTCTGTCTGTGACAGCATACTTTTGCTAATGAACACACTGTTTCCATATAACCTTATGAAAGCAAAATTTTTGAGGGTTTCAAGGCCAGATATTGAGTTATATTTCACCTTGAAATTAAAATTTAAAAAGTTCCTAAGCTTTCAAATTGTAAGGAAAAAAATACATAGTGAGTTATTGCTTCTACAAATGTCATTTCTTCTTATATTATTCAGATGAGTGAAGCACAAAGCTATACAGCCTGTCACAATATATAGTATCTTAGTTAAAGTTTAAACCAATAAAAAAATAGATTTACCTCCTCTACTTCAGCATCAACGGCATGTGTTACAATACATTATATACAATTATTATACTATACTACTGTACATAGTTACATAGTAATTACAATATATGTAATCACTGAAGACAACCTTCATCAGAATGAGAAAATATCAATCAAAAAGCTATTTATACACTCTTTGACTGAAGTAATAAAAGTAATCAAATGTGATTTTGCAACAGTTAAATGTGATTTAAGAATTACTGAAAATTTTGGTACCTTCTCTCTTAAAATTGAATTGATCTTTTGTGGGTGGCTGGGCCCAGTGCAGTGAGTAATTCTTACAAAACATTTTATTTACTACTTGTATTTAACTGTTTTCTAAAAATGTGTATTCCACTAATGTCTTTATCTTGCTTATCAGAAAGAGAATCCGTCTTCCTTATTGTTAACTCTGTTACTCACAAAACATTGAAACTGTCTAGAGCTTCCAATGTCCATGTATTTAATATTACAAAGAGGTTACAATGTTTGCCTGAAATATAGAGATGTCAGCTGGTTTCAAGACCTTGAGAAGCAGAATATGTTTATGTTTCACTATTGGGAATCTTATTTTTCTGCAAGTTATTTTTTGAGAATTTGCCAAAGAATATGCTTGAATTAGTTACCATAATAAGTACATTTAGCACAACCCTGATATTTTTGGTGATATTGAAAAATGATCTCAGTAGCTTTGTTTTTATGCTTCACTGTGTGTTTGTGGATTGTTTTAATCTCAAACAGATTCTGTTTGAACACAGTATTGTGATTTTAGTTATCTTGGGGGATTGTATCCTTTTCCTGCAGCTTTTAAGACCTCAGTTGCATTTCACATTTTCCTTGGGATTTAAACATGTCTTGCTTGTACTAGCTCACATTCCCATGTGCAGAAAGGAATACTTTGAACTCCTGTTCTGAATTCATTTATTTTTTATTTACAGGCTCTGCTTCAGAAGCCATGAAAGACAAGCTTCTAATAGCCTAAGTATACCAAATCTTTTTGACAGTCCACACTTATTCCCTTCATGTAACTTTAGTTTAAGCGGAGACATGTGTTAAAAATTCTGCATGCACAAATGAATTTATATTCTTTGCAAATGTGAACACAAAATGTGTAGAACTATTTAGAAACATGATTTTTGTTCTTTTTATTATTGTGACCATAATGGGTAAATGCACCGTTAGATTGATTATTAATCAATAGTAATAACTCAATAATCATGCATTTTCTAAAAGTACAAACATTTTTCACCTGTCAAAATGTCACCCAAATAACACAACTGTTTGAGTTTGAAATTGCATGTCATACATTATGTGGCAAGTTGTTGGCTTAAGGGGGGTTCATACTTCAAATGTAGCCACAAGAGGGCCCTGACACCCTCTGATATACAGCTTAATTCTTTAATTGAGGAAAATTGTGTGAGAATGCAGCCCCAATATAATAGTTAGGGGGTATGCTCCTTGTGCTCTCCAGGTGAAACTGAGTACCTGGGGACAGGGAGAGGAAGAAGGCAGTCTATTGCAGACTCGTGTAGGCACCCAAGTGAAAATGCACCTGAAGCCAGAAGAGGAAATGACTTCTCGCTGAACCATGACCTTATTTAAAAAAAAAAATCAAAGGTGCTCAAGTAATACCTCTGAGTCTGGAATGCAGGAAAATGGGGATTTACTTATAAAATGACCATCCAATTCCCCATTAAGGAAAAGGAATTCCAACCCAACAGAACTTACCGGTGTTTCTCCGGCATTGAATGGGAACACCAATGTGCCTCTGGTGTCCCTAGGATGTAAGGCCAGAAAAATGAAAGACATCTTTTGACAATGGAGGCCTGATTTTATACTGAACCGCTTTCCTTTATCACTGGTCACCTGGAGGCCCAGGGCAAAAAGAGTAATGGTCCAGACATCTGTTGACTAAAGAAGCACCATATACAGTAGCCCTGGTAGCCAAGGGGACCGGAGAGACTATCCTGTGACCAGGCTGAAAATAAGGATAAGGCAAAAGATCCGAACTGTCTATGGGTGACTGCATGGTATTGTCCAGTGTTTCATGCATTAGTAGTGGCCACGTTGACCAAGAACATTCTGGAATAATCAACCCAAAAACAGAAACCAAGGAGGCTTTTAGTCCTGAGGCTTTTGAGGCAGACTACCAAACCGATGGACCTCTATTTACCATTTCCAGACAGATGGTTTCAAAGAAAGGTTTAACTGTACTATGAATCCAATGCAGAAGAGAGTAGCCGAAAAGCTGGCTGAAAGTGGAACTTCTTCCTGTCCTTGCTGATATTTACTATCAAGAATATTCACCAGGTTTTGTTTTGTTTTGTACTTTTTATTTCGGAGACATCTTAGGGGGTTTTCCAAGAGCAATAAAAACATCACAGAACATATCAACCATTTACAACTAAAGAAAGAACCTGTCAAAGATCACCTGGCCAAAGCACAAAAAGGCCAGAAGCACGTGAGAGATTGCCTTATGTTGACTGCTGTCAAAACAGGTGAGAGAAATATCCTCCAAAGAGTTTGAATTTATGTTCTCATCATGGAAGAGCAGCACAGACAGGAGACACTTCCAGGTTAATCAATGAAAATACTGCAACATTGCTGGATCTCAAAATGATCTCTATGAGTCATCATACTACACATGTGTCATACTATGGTGTCCTTGATGCCATGCAGAACAAGGTTAAAGGTAGACAAAATGCTGGACCTTGATATCAGAGAAGAAAACAACAGACCTTGGTACAGTACAACCCCATGATCTTAATTTTAAAGTTCATTAGAAAAGCAAGTTCAAAATTTGATTCAGAATGCAGTTTAAATCTATTGCATAAGCTCTTAAATGCCCTTAAGTACTGTTTTTGCTAAGTCTGGAGTTTTGTTTTAAAAAGAAAACATACTAGATTACGGTCATCGGTACACAACACCAGGAGCTTTGTTTTCAGCACCTTTCATAGTTGCAAACCACCGAAAGCTTCCAGCTGTCTCAATAAGAGAGCAGCCACCATCCTTCAGCACTGCATCTTCTGAGGAGCACACCTACATTTCTCATTTTCCTGAGCAGCGGCTGGAGTAACTACCACAGAATCCAGGGTTAACACTGGAGGGGATTCCAAACTGTCTGGGCACATACTAAAAGCATAAATGGTTCGTGGTTGCATTTAAAAAATATGAAATGAAAATGTGATGCAACATATAAAACGAAATGAGCTCATTTCTATGTGAAAACACATAGAAGAAGAGTTTCATAAATAAAATAATTAAACCAGTTTTGTAGAGACTAAAAAAGGATAAATGTGCCACCTGTTCAGTGATACTGAATAATACTGATTTATAAATTACTAACATTCAGGGTGCCACCTTATTATTAAGAACGTCTGGCTTAATAAAACATTATTCCCATTCTGGATAAGGTACTAATTACCTATATAAATTAAACCTGACTCTGTTAATCCTACTATCACTGTTAATTGTGTCTGCTTTTCTATTTATCTGTATGGATTTAAGCATGAATAGCTAGGGGCTTCAAAAATAAAACTAGCCAGGGGCTAGGAAATAATGTAATTGTAATTTACACAAGATAACTTTTAACTGCAATTTTTAACGATTTGAGTAGTTACCTAAATGCAATTGTGTTTATATACCGTAATCTGTATTTCTCCTTTCCGTGTAATTCAAGATTAATCAAATGTGACAGGGGAAATGACTTTACTATAGTGTGGCTACAGTTGTTTTGATTTAAAGGGCAGTTTATTTAGTGTCAATGTATTCCTCTTTCTGACCTTATATGCCAAATACATTATTAAGAGGGCATAAAAACACTGCTTAAAACCCCTTCAGCCTGGAACAGATATAAACATTACCCTGTCTTGCAAAATCCAACACTAATATTGAATAATAATGAGTGCTTTTTAAAAAAACTCACAGTTGTACACAATAGCACACATTATGTACAATAGAATTAAGAATTAAGAGGAAGAAAAAAGTGTGGACAGATCTCTAAAGAGAAAAACACGCATGAGTGAGAAAGCCTGAAACAGCAGATCCCACATTCATTCATTTAATTGGTCATGAATATAATATTAGTTAAGATAATTCAATACATTATATAGGAGAAATGGAACCTCGAAAGTCCTTCTAAATTCCAGTTAACAGATGGACCAAAGTATTCTCGACAAATGAAGCCTGTTTGATATCTAAGGACCAGTTCTAAAACTGCATTATGCATACAATACACCTAAAATTGTATTTATTTATTTTAGTTTTTTACACTATTAACTTTCAATTCATTGCACCTCACCTGTGAAATTGTACTTTATCATTTCAGTTTCAAACATATTAATAAGAATATGATCATATGCACCATCTACTGTACATCTAATCACTTTACAGTATGGCAACAAAAGCACTATTCCCATTCGTATCATTGTGAGTTGCTTATAGTGAAATGGATCAATTGGATATTAAATCATTTATGGATTCATTGGATATTAAAATCCTAAAGACAGTACTGTAAGTGTTAAAACAAACACACAAACTAAATCTGAAACTACAAATACTAGTACAAACCAGCTGAAGTCTTCACTTGACTTACTGAGTACAACAAATCAGGATGTATAAAAAAACAAATACTTTGAAAAATACATTGAACAGGGATTCGCTTTGACTGGTGGGTTTTCAGCACATCTACTGAATACATATCTAATCTCAGACAGACACCTGGAAAGAGCAGAAGCAGCAGCGGTAGTGTCTGATTTGGTCTGCAAATAAATAAGTGTCATCAGCATAGCAGTGAAACACAGGTCCATGATATCAAATTATCTGATCGAGAGACAACAGATAGTCAAGGTCCCAGCACAGATCCTCAAAACACTCTGGGTAAGGTGGACATCACCAGAGAAATGAAATTTAAACCAATGAAATTTCCAAGTTGTCCAGTAGGATGCTATGATTAACAGTACCATAATATACAATCAGAAGAAGAAGAATATGAGGTCACTCAAAAGTCATGAACCATTATCAAATAACTAATTTATCTAAACATGGGCTATTTCATTGCTGTGTCTGTTTAAACCCTATAAAGACTCAAAGAGCACATCAGATTCAAGGTTTAAAATTACAACAAAAGATCATCGAAATTAATTATTCAAAGATTCCATAATTTTTGTGATATTTTAGAATGCTATTAAACATTCTGAAACTGAATATAATTTTTTGCTATTATTATTAATAATTGCTGTTTGCACTTCTTATTTTTGAATATCATGTATTTTATATTCTGTTGTTGTTTTATAACCTAATAAGATAGCTTGGCCCTTAGTGGCAGAATATTTAAATCTGTTGGTTTAATTATTATGTTTTATTAGAGTTTGTGGTCTAGTGAGCCACTGTAATTAAATTGAAGTGCATCCATGGAAACCTAGTTCTTATGAGATGGGAAAAGAAAGATAACATGGAGTATTGCCTCTGATTGCTGATTTTATTTGTACTGTGCTAGTGCAGACATTGCCGCTAATTCAACTGTCTGAAAGGAAATGTAATCATGGATAAATCCCTAATTGTCCTGATTTTGTCCCAGAGAAATCATACAGAAGCTCATACCAGAATAGCAGAACACAGATTAAAGATGCTTCACTAAAGTGTAACAAAGTAATCTCAAATGTTTCAATCAGTAAAGAACAAATACAGCATACTTTGCCAGGCTGAGTTGTGTCGTTTATTTGTAAAATATTTTCGATGCCCTTGCTCAATCAGTATGATCCTATTCTTCACAGAATCATGTCAAAAAAAGGATGTCTTAAAATTTGCTTATCTATTTATGATCATTGTAGGAAGCAGATCTTGCACATGTCTTGCACACCTACTAATAACCATTTATTTTAATACTTTGAAGATGTCTGGCAAATGTAAGAAATAATACGAGACTCTCACAGAACAAAAACTGTAATACTTTCAAGAAATAACAGGAGTATCTAGTATTTCTGTCTACTAATCTGAACAAGCACAACAAGCCTCATCTACAGAATTTAATCACGCAATAGGTACAGTATCACTGTCTTCTGATGTATGCAATGTGCTGTCCAAATTCATATGAATGAAATGAAAGCATGTGACCACCTACCCACACACCTTGGCAGAGGTGCACTCCAAACACGCCGGCCACCTCCTAAACAGGTGATCTTGTTATTGCCTTCAAGTCTGTAGCCAGGGAAGCAGGAAAATATTAAGGAGTCCCCAACTCCAAACTGGAAGCCAATTCTCCTACTGTACGCTGGAACTCCGGGATCATCACAAGGTTCAAGATTGTATTCTGTAAACAAAGTACTAGAGTCACTTATGGGAGACAGCTGAGGGGGGTGATAAATTTAAATACAGTTTAACAGACTAATAGGGGAGAAGATGTGTACGTTATTGCAGAGTGTCCGTTACATTATGAACGTCATGTTTTCAGCCCCAAAATACACTATTACAAGTAAATATACAGTATACCTGTTTACATACCTTCTGGATCTTCTATCTTATTTTTTAATAGCTGCAATACAGCTGCAATCAACACAGTCAATAAAAATCCTTTGTGTGTCTTTTTATCATAAATAAACAAGCTTTTTCTTTCATGTAGCATAAATAAACAGTATTCTATATAATTTGCTGAAGCACATGAAACAAACACACTTCATAAATGATTGACATACCCCTATAGGACATTACTAATATAACTTAATTTTAAAACTATGTAGTATGAAGTTGTGAATATCTGAATATCTGAAGTACTACAAATTAGGAGTTGCATCTTTCCACTTTATTTTCATTTATTCCATTTCCATTCCATATCCATTTTATTCCATTTTATTCCTTTAAATCAAGAAGCAGGTGGTTTGTTGATTCTACTATGGATGAATGGTTTCAATCTCACATCAAAAACAGAAAAAATAATAAATATAATAAAGATAAAAGGATTATTTATTAATGTTACAACCCCAAGTATCTAGGGATAAAGGGGTGTAACATTTAGGATAGTTTTTGGATGCAGGTGGGTTCTGGTGAAGGACTAGGAAGAGTGATAACAAGGGTTGGTGCAAAAGTGATGATTTTAAGGTGAATAAGTGACAGGTATGTAATAGGACAAGATAACACACAGGGCTAGGGAACTAGAGTGGTGCCAAAGAAAAGAAAACAACAAACAAAATGGAGCTGGCTAGGAAGGTGAGGGAAAGCTAACCTGAGTACAGAAGATAACCCAAAACACACGGTCTTTGGCGTATTCAAACACCCTAGTTAACCTTCACTGACTACCCAAAATCCTAGAAGACCAAAATGACACTCACCCGTACTAAACTAGTGTTACTAATACAGAGATCAACTACGTGTGCAGAATGTACCCAACAACCTAAACTAACCTTATACACAAAAGTTCACACAAATACACAAGTGAACTACGAATACCAATAAGGGAAAACAAGAGTAGACAACAGGAACAGGGTAAAAAAGAACACAGAGGCTGATATAACACGTTAGGGCAAGGTAATGGCAAAATAAACGAT